CTCCCAGAACATTGTATCGTGCCACGCCCAACAGAAATAACCCAGGTGGATAGCTTCAGCAATCAGGAGCTCCTCAGTTGGTCATAGAAAATCTCACCTTGGAATTTACAAAGACTCATGGGTAGGACAGCCACACTAAGTAATTTACTACACCACAGATGCCTTAGGCACTGTGCTACCAGAGCTCCTAGGACTTCTCCCAGTGACCAGGTTATATTCAGTTCTTTCCCTCAGTTCCTCAGTTCCCAACCAGTGACTTAGGCCCCACCCCTACAGACAGATACTCCTTGACATTTAAGTATCACTTGGCCTGGATTTCTAACACAGTCCTCAACCAAAGTGCCAGTATCTCTCATTATCCTGAAGTACCCCAGTCCTCAAAATAGACTTCACCTTTCCCTAGGCTTCACCTTCATTACCATACCCTTCAGAAGTTGAATTCTACATCATAACTGGACCTTTTCTGACAATTGGTCAGTGTTTCCCATCCATAGGGCAGGTTTCTTTCCAGTGGGCCCTATCTTACTGCAGTTGATGAAGTCAGATCAAGCTCCTACCTTTCTCTTGGGATTCCAGAAAGACCTAAGAGAGCACTTAGTTCAGGACAGGGTCCCCAAAGTGGGTTAGAGGAAGGCTGTATGCGTATCCTGGCCCTGTGACCACTTTGCCCCTATATTCAAACTTATAAACATTCTATAGCTTGACTATACAAGCCTTATAAACCAGAACTGCACCTTGACCATAGAAATGCTGCAGAACAATTTGTAGTCTGACAGATTTAGGTTCGAATACAGGCCCTACAATTCATCTGCTGTGTGATGTGAGCAAGCTGCTTAATTCTTTGAAGCTCTGTAAAATGGCTGAAATCAATGCCAGCCTCATTTTGAGGATTAATTTTACTTTTTGTAGTGCCAAGTTTAGCATGTAAAAAAATTAAGTGTCCAATAGTAGGTAATTATCACTATACCAATAGGTTTGGTAGCATTTATACCACAGTGAAGTGTGTGGCCATTGTTAGATACTGAGAATAAGAACATTAGGTCTTCAATTAGTGATAGTTATCAGGACACTAAGTAGTAATGAGTCCTGGTGATATGGTGGTTAAACTGCTGGGCTGCTAACCAAAAGGTTGGTGGTTCAAACCCATCAGATGCTCCACAGGAGAAAGATGTGACAGTCAGCTCCTGTAAAGATTACAACCTTGGAAACTATGGGGTAGTTCCACTTTCCCTACTCTGTTCCTACTCTGTGCTATCAACCCTGTAGGGTCGATAGTAGTCAGAATCTACTTGATGGCAGTGAAGATTTTTGTTTGATTCCTAGTTTAATATTATCTATATCCAAGTCTTAGTTTTTCCTCTATTAATTATGTACCTTTGGATAAGATGCTTGGGGATACAGTAGACACAAAAGTACTTTCTTATTCACATTATTGCTATGTCAGACAGGGATGTGGCAGCTTAGCTACAGGACCCCTCCCTCCTCCTCCAAGTCTCAGTTAAGAAGAAATTTCAGTCTCCAAGTGAAAATCTCAGAAGGATGCCCAGCTGACCAGCTCCAGGACCCAACCACAAAATGTCTTGGGGCAATGAAATTTCCTGGCTGTGTTTTTCACCAGCCCAGGGGCTCTGTGCTATATTTAACAACATGGACAGGGACTCCCCAGGGCTTTGCAGGGATTGGAAATTCACTCCCCACCACCACTTCCAGTACAGTGAAGACCCATGGGCCTGCCAGCAGGAATCCCCTCCCTCCAGGGCTGCTGTGCATCTAACACACTTAAGAGACACCCAGATCTCTCCTATAGTGCCTCTTCATTAAGGAGAAGGAGGCAAAGATTTTCTACTTCACTGCAGCAAGACCAAGAGAAAACAGACTGATGCTGCCACAGCAATGAAGGAGATTACTTAGCAGAAGAATATCTGAAGGTACTGGTCAGCTGTAGTTGGGACTGAAGGGTCTGGGGAAGTTATCTTCCCTGGTCATATCCAAGAATGGGCAAATAAGCCCACTCTAGTTTTCTCTGTTCACTCACTAGGGAAGGAAAGGAAGGTATACTTGTCCATACTGAGCAGTAGTGGGGTCACCAGCAAACATTCATGGCCTTTTCCAGACTTGTGCAGGCTGCTTCAGAAGGTCTCCATCCACTGACACACCTACACTGCTTCCTTAGGCTCCATGGCAGATATGCTGGAAAGGCATCCCCCCTCTTTTCCTACCAGAAGAGCAGAGGCCAAGAAGGGGCAGGGAAGGGTTGGTAGGTGGAGAAAGATGACTTGATCTGTATCTCCATGTTTGTCTTTTCAAGAGTCAGTGGAGTGCAGGGGTTAAGAGCCTGGCAGACCTTGTAGACAAAGATCCAGGCTTTAGTCTTGGTCCTGTCACATATTAGTTTGGTGTAAGATAATGTTTTAGGGCCAAAATCTGGCCTTAAAGCAGAGAAAACCAACAATAGAAGGGGACTGCAAAAGCAGCCTGCCCACCATAGCCTGAATTGGTGGACTCTTGCATAACTTTCCCCAAACACTAGCATAATCATGAGTTATTCACAACCTGAGGCTCCGTTAAGCCCGAACAAGTGTCATCCTTACACTAGATACTGTGGAGAGATGTAAAAAGAAACATAGTCTCTGCCTCCAGCATGGCTGGGAAGACAACATACACACATAAAGTAAACTAGACTAGACCAGTCAGATTCTGAGAGTAAAAAGGGGAAGCAAAATCTGAATTGGTCCTTGTCGGTTGATGGGATGTGAAGCATCAGAAAGGCAGAGGAATGAATAGCACAAGGGGTGGCAGGATCTGCATGGTATATATGGCAGACACTGAAAATGCAAGCTTGCTTGGAAGACCTATAGCAGGGATCACTCCAGCTTTCCAGGCTAACATCCTTGGGGAGTTGTGCTGTTAGAAGCATGGCTCAGAAGCCTTACTGAGGTACTGGTGAATCACATGGACTCCAAAACTGGTTAGAACCAGATTAGGAAATGCCTTGAATTCTAGTGGAAGGAGACATTAGAAGGGATGTAAGAGATGACACAGTATCTGTGGATGGGTGCACTAGGAAGGGAAGCCAGGAGGAGGCTACTGCAAAAGTCTAGGAGTGGGGTGGAAAGGGGGACTTGAGCACCACATATCCTCAGCCCTCATGCCTTCCCTTCAGGGTTTGCCATCTGCACTGCTGACCAATCCTGATCTCTTGAAAGCGTTTCTCTCTCAATGTCCAAAACTCGGAGCTGCCCAGCACAAATGTTCCTTATCTGGGAGATCTTTCCTCTTCATTCAATTTTTGGTGTTCCTTGAAGCTCAGCACACACAAATCCTGTGTCCATATAACCTCAGGCATTTTTTCCATCTTCCATAATTCCACCATCACTTTGCTGAAACCAGTCCTCACAATCATGTTTTCAGCCCTGCCCTCTGGAACTTCAGACACTTGAGATGCTAATGAACTTCCCCTCCTCTCTACATTCTTCTTTTCACTCATCTTCCCATTATCTAAATTTCTGCCATTTATTGAGCATTTTCTATGGACCGGGTATATTTCATGCAATCTGCACTGTGAAAGAGATATTACCCTCATTTTACAGATAAATAATATGGAACGCTGAGAGGCTCACTTGGGAGTAGGTAAAGAGGCTGCCAAACTCAAGTGGTCTGACTCCAAAATCTATGCTCTCCTGTGCTCCCATCCCATGTCTCCATCTCCACCCATTATAATCCTGCTCAATAGATAGATTAGCTCAGCTTTCCCCCTGCTTCTTATCGCACTGATGTTGTCGCAAGTCTCCAGTCTGCTTTCCTGGTATCAGAGTACATCAGAGCCAGAAAATACGTTTGGGAATGATCAAATCCGAGATACTTATTCTAAAAATGGGGTTGTGAAGCTCAGAGAAGGGTAAAAAGTTATCCAAAATCACACAGCAAATCAGGGGCAGAGCTAGGATTAGACCCAGCTCTTCTGATTTCTAAATTCATTCCAGTTATACAGAATTATTTTATTTCCCTAAAGTTTTATATCTTGCAAAACGTGTTGATGCAGAATATGTCCTATGCTCCTTTCCATAACTTGGTGATGTACATGTTTCATCTCTATTTAATGGATGGGATCTTGTGATCTTGTCCAAGATCACAAAACTTGGTAAGTGACAACCATGGGACTCTCATGTGGCTTGGTACTTATAAACATTCAACTGAAAATCCCACAGAATTCCAGTACAGGAAACAAAGCTCAGACAGGTCTCAGGGAAACTGTTGTAGTTGTTGTGATGTGCCATCAAGTCAGACCTGACTCATAGCAACCCCTCCTTGGGTTTCCAAGGCAGTATCACTACAGAAGTAGATTGCCCAATCTTCCTTCCGAGGAGTGGCTGGTGGATTTGAACTGCCAACTTTCTGGTTAGCAATCAAGTGCCTCATGCACTACGCTACCAGAGAACCAGGGTCTCTCAGTTACTAAGGGCTGTGAGCTTTCTCCTATCTTCTCAACACTTCTGCTCTTTTCTCACGTTTGTGAGGCCTCCACTTTTAGTATATTTTATTCAATCCATGTGTTACTTTGTGTTGGCACCACACCAGCTCTGGGCTGACAGTACCTCAAGTACCACTGGTCACTAACACAGACTTTCATAATTCTAAATTCTCAGGAGAGACATTTAGATTGGGACAAGTGTGCAGCCTTAGGTCAAATTTGGTTGTGGCCAAGGAATGGCATGATCTCCTGCTACAAACCTAATGCCTTGCCTTCTATGGATGGAGTTAGTTTCCAGGAGAAGGGCTTGTGGGCAGTCAAGAATCTCAGGTTCTATTACAGGTATGAATTAAGACCTTCTGCTCTAGCTCTCTTATCATTTTCATGCACCCAACAGAGGTTTGAGCAAATCCGAATATACTGCACAAGTCATTGGGTATGTGACTCAGCTTCTGAGTGGCTACTCTATCCTCCCTCCAGCAAGGCCAAGAACAGACTAAGAATATCTCTCTTTAATAGTCAGGTCATCATGAAGAATCTTGGTAAAGAGAACCACAGTGATGTGTCTGAGTTCATTCTCCTGGGCTTCTCCAGTGAGTCACATGTCCGAATGGCTCTTTTCATCTTCTTCCTCCTCCTCTACCTCACCACCCTTATGGGCAATGGACTCATCATCACCCTAATCTACTTGGACTCACGCCTCCACACACCCATGTACTTCTTTCTCAGTATCCTCTCTTTAGTGGATATGAGCTATGTCACCACCACTGTGCCCCAGATGTTGATTAATATGCTGTGCCCAAGGAGAACCATCTCTTGGGGAGCTTGTGTAGCACAAATGTTTATTTTCTTAGTTCTGGGCATTACTGAGTGTGTCCTCTATGCCGTTATGGCCTATGACAGGTATGTGGCTATTTGCTTTCCACTTCACTATACCCTACACATGAACCATTCCACTTGTATCAAGATGGTCACAGTCTGTTGTTCCATCAGTATAACTGGGGCCCTGATCTATACTGTCTTCACAATGCACCTGCCTTACTGTGGCCCCCACAAGATAAACCACTTCTTCTGTGAGGGTCCTGCATTATTGAAGTTGGCCTGTGCAGACACATCCTTCAATGATCATTTGAACTTCATCTTGGGTTTCATCCTGCTTCTAGTCCCACTGTCCCTCATCCTGGCCTCTTATGTCCCCATATTTGCCTCCATATTAAGAATCCGCTCATCCCAGGGAAGGCTCAAGTCCTTCTCCACATGTGCTTCCCACATCACTGTGGTCACCATGTTCTATGGGCCAGCCATAATGATGCACATGAGACCTGGCTCCTCATATGACCCAGAGCAGGACAAGAAGCTGGCCCTGTTCTACAATGTTGTCTCTGCCTTCCTCAACCCCATCATCTACAGCCTCAGGAACAAGGATGTAAAAGGAGCCTTTCTGAAAGTACTTGGAGGCAGACAGACATCTCATTGACCCAGAATGTTTCAGCGTTGCCCAGAGTCACAAGTAGAACTGCATAGGGTTAATTTGGTTCAGAAGGGTACACAAAGTTCTGACCAGCCTGGATCTTCCTGGGGCCATGAGTACCTGGGAAAGGACTTGACCACCCCTATTCTGAAGGTACTCCACTTTGGTTGAAAAGTCATCAGCTGACACCACACAAAAGTTCAGCTCAGTGATGAAGGCAAAGGATTTCTCCAAAAACTATGCTTTTCTGTTCATGATCATTAGCTGTGTGCTTTTCCTAGGTTCTGCCCTTAAGGTTGGAAGATTATGTCAGCATGATCACAGCTGAATGCATAACATGCACACCATGGCATTCTACAGTGTAAAGGAATTTAGGGTAAAAACAACATAAAAAATAGGTAGATTATGTAGCAATATAGTCCTGCATGACAATCTGACATGCACTTATAAGTAATATTTAGCATTGCTTTTTGCATTAGACTATAAAGTCTGAGCTAGAATTATTTTAGACATATCTGTGTAACAATATGGCTAATAATTGATCTCGTGTAGGTTCAGCTTATGAATCTGATTCTTAAATGATTTTACACTTAACTCCAACTTTATATTGAGAAAAATTATATGTATTTCCCAGGAGAAATAAGAGTATATACAAATATATATGTATATATAAATATATGTGTATGACCATATACATATACCATTTATGTGTATATCTACGTATACACACATGTATCAGTATATGTATCAGAGAAAGTGAAAGAGAGAGAAAAGCAATAGAAAAGAACAAAGATTTCATTTTTCTCCCCCCCCAAAAAAAGCACTTGTTAATGTTTTGCCGTATTTGATTTCTGTCATATTTTCCTTCTGTTTTTTTTAAAGGATTAAATGATTACAGACAAAATTGAAATGTCCTCTGAATACTCCCAACTTACCTGAAGCAATCACTATGATTAATCTGAAGTCTGTTTATTCAGTCTGTTCTTAAATTTTTACATGCATACAACTGTATTATTCATGAATCTATTAAAAATTTTTAAATGGTATCTGATATCCATACATTTGATAATAATAGTTCTGGTTTATTACCTTTAACAAATCTAAATATACCACATTTCATTTTTGTAATTCCCTATTGTTGACCACCAATGGTCTGTCAGTCTGTTGTACTATGATGGATTGTGTATTGCTGTGATGCTGTAAGCTTTGCCACCAGTTTTTCAAAGACAGAAGGGTCAACCATAATAAAAAGAATGAAATTTCCAGAACACTTAAATTGAAACTTGCTCTTGAATAGAGAGTTGTTGTCATTGCTAGGTGTCGTTGAGTTGTTTCAGAGTCATAGCAACCCCATGCACAGCAGAATGAAACACCACCCGATCCCGCGCCGGCTCCATGATCCTTGCTATACTTGAGCCCGTTGTTGCAGCCACTGTGTCAATTCATCTCGTTGAAAGCTTTCCCCTCTTTCATCGACCCTCCACCTTACCAAGCATGACATCCTTCTTCAGGGAATGGTCCCTTCTGACACCATGACCAAAGTAGGTGAGACGAAGTCTGGTCATTCTTGCCTCCAAGGAGCATTTCAGCTGCACTTCCTCCAGGAAAGATCTGTTAGTTCTTTCAGCAGTCCATGGTACTTTCAGCATTCTTTGCCAGCACCACAACTCAAAAGCATCAACTCTTCTTCAGTCTTCCTTATTCATTGTTCAGCTCTCACATGCATATGACATGATTGAAAATATCATGGCTTGAATAGAGAGTAGCTAAAGCAAATGGAAGAAATGACAGGATAAAAGAGCCAAACAGAAGATTTCAAAGAGCACCTTGAGAAGACAAAGTCAATTCTTATAATGAAATGTGCAAAGACCTGGAGTTAGATAACCAAAAGGGAAGAACACATTCAGCATTTCTCAAGCTAAAAGAACTGAAGAAATCATTCAAGCCTCAAGCTGCAATATGAAAATTTCTATGGGCAAAATATTGAATGATACAGGAATCAGCAAAAGAAGATGGAAAGCAATTTAGCATAGTGGCAGGATACAAGTTGACCATCCAAAAATCAGTTGGGTTCCTCTACACCAGCAAAGAGATTGCTGAAAAAGAAATAAGGAAATCAATGCCATTTACAATAGCTACCAGAGAAATAAAATACTTGGGAATAAATCTTACCAGGGACACAAAAGACCTGTACAAAGAAAACTGTACAGGAAACAATAAGAGATTCTACATAAATGAAAGAACATGCCATGCTCATGAATAGGAAGACTGAACATTGTGAAAATGTCAATTCTACTCAAAGCAATCTATATCCAGATCCCATCAACATTCTTTAAGGATATGGAAAAACCAATCACTAACTTTATACAGAAAAGACAGAGATCTCGGATAAGCAAAGCATTATTGAAGAAGAAGAGCAAAGTTCTCACACTCCTGGATCTCAAAACCTACTATATAGCCACAGTAGTCAAAACTGCCTGATATTGGTACAATGATAGACAAACGGAACAGAATTGAGAACCCAGAAATAGATTCATCAACCTATGGTGAGCTGATCTTTGACAAAGGACCAAAATCCATTAAATGGGGAAGAGATTGTTTGTTTAACAAATGGTGCTGGCAAAACTGGATATCCATTTGCAGAAAAATGAAACAAGATCTGTACCTCACACCATATACAAAAACTAATTCCAGATGAATCAAAGTCTTAAATGTGAAACCTAAAACTATAAAGTTTCTAAAGGAAAAACTGGGGGTAAATTTAGGCACCCTAATATATGGCATAAATTGACTATCAAGCATAATGCAAAATGCAGAAAATAAATTAAATGGGACCTTCTAAAAATTAAATTTTTATGTGCTTCCAAAGACATCCCTAAAAGATTCAAGAGAACCTACAGATTGGGAAAAAATATTTGGCAATAACATATCTGACAAGGGACTTATCTCTAAAATTTACAAAAAATCCAACATCTCAACAACAAAAAGACAAATAATCCAGTTTAAAAATAGGCAGAAGACATTTGAGGATCCATGAGGATATAGAGAGATTAGGACTCTCAGACACTTCTGGTGGGGATATAAAATGATACAACCACTGTTGAAAGCAGTATGGTGATTCCTTAAAAAGTTGGAATTAGAAATACCATTTGACCCAACCATTCCATTACTAGTTATACATCCTAAAGAAGTGAAAGCTAGGACAAGAACAGATATATGCACACCCATGGTCATCACAGCACTATTTACAATAGCCAAAAGATGACAACAACCTACATGACCATCAACAGAAAAATGTATAAGCAAACAATGATATATACACACAATGGAACTCTAAAGAATAACCTAGAATCTGCAAAACGCTGCACAATGTGTATGAATTTGGAGAACATTATGCTGAGTGAAATAAGTCAATCACAGAAGGACAAATATTGTATTAGTCTATTATTGTAAAAAGTCAAGGAAAGGTTTATATATGGAAGGAAATTTTCTTTGTTGGTTACCAGGGGTGGGAGGGAAGGGGAGGGAACACTGTTAGATAGGTAGAGACAAGTATTGATTTTTGTGAAGGGAAGGGCAATCTACCAAATGTGAGTGATCAACGTGGTGGCATTGAGGAAAAGGAAGACATAGAGAGGTGCATGAGAGGTACAGACAACAAAGATGAACCCTTTTGTACATACAGTACTGTGTTGTCAGTGATAGCAAACACTGGTCTGCAGGTGGATAGATGAGTAGACAGACTGAACAATTAGGTATGTCTATGCAGGAGCAAGTGTGCCCATGACCATGTATAGAATGGGCAGGCAATGATTCTACAAGTGTATTTTTATGTTCTATAAGAATTTCCAGGTATATAGTAAAGCTGACAAGTGACAAGGTTGTAGTCACTTCTTGGCCACAGCCAGGTACCCAGAGGGAGCAAATAGTTGGACCTGTGAGCTGGGGACCATAGCCACAGGGGACATCAAGCTCAATTGGCATAACATTGTTCCACACCCTGCTTTGGCAAGTAGCAACTGGGATCTTAAAAATTTCCAAGCAGTCATCTAGATGCAACAATGGGTCTCTTCTCATCTAGAGCAAAGAAGAATGAAGAAAACCAAATACACTTGGAAACAATTAGTCCAAGGGACTGGTACACCATGTGATCCTCAGCCTATATAACTGAGACCAGAAGAACTAGATGGTGCCCAGCTACCACTGTCAACCACTCAGAGGAGGTTCTATGTAGGACATCCTTGATAGAGTGGGAGAACAATGTGGAACAAAACTCAAAATCATAAAAAAAAAAAAAAAAAGAGGGGGGCCAGGTTTGCTGGTCTGATACAGCCTGGTGGAACCTTTGAGACTATGTCCCCTAGCTGCCCTTCAGGTCTGGAAGTGAACCCACTCCTGTGGCTTTCAGCCAAACAAAGGACAGGTATCTGAGCTGAACATTTAAATTAGGAGATACACTCCTTGGAAAGATAAATCGTGGGAGACTAGAAGGGCTGTGTATGCACAGGGAGACAGTTTGGGGGACAGGAGTGCATGGGAGGGAAGGTCACAGAGATGAGGTAACTATGGGGAGGAAGTCGGAAGGGAGCTGTTGTACTGTGGGAATTTGCAGTCAATGTCATGAGACAAACTGTATGTGAGCTGCTATGTGGAAAATGAATTTGCTCTGTAATTTTTCACCAAAATCACAATAAAAATTTTTAAAAAAATAAATAAAAAAGAAAGAAGAAGAAGAAGATGCAAGGACTACACAGTCACTGTACTAAAAAAAAAAAATTAGTCAATGTTCACGTATTTCAGGAAGTGGAATATGATCAAGAACCAATGGCATTGAAGGAAGAGGTCGAAGCTGCACTGAGGGAGTTGGCAAAAAACAAGGCTCCAGGAATTGACAGAATACCCATTGTTTCAACAAACAGATGCCACACTTACTCATCAATGCCAAGAAATTTGGAAGACAGTTACCTGGCCAATTGACTGGAAGAGATCCATATTTGTACCCATTC